CCAACCAAAAAACAAAACAAAAACAAAACCAAAAAACCAAACTGGAGCCTGTGTACTGATAGCTTATGCCTATAATCTTAGCTACTCAGCAGGCAGGGACGAAGAGGATAGAGACTGGGAACCAGCTGGGCAGAACACTCCACAAGATTCCATCTCTAGGGCTGGGAAGGTGGCTCAGTGGTAGAGCGCTTGCCTTGCATGCATGAGGCCCTGGGTTCGATTCCCCAGCACCACATAAGCAAAAAGGAAAAAAGCCAGAAGTGGCGCTGTGGCTCAAGTGCTAGAGCGCTAGCCTTGAGCTGAAGAGCTGAGGGACAGTGCCCAGGCTCAGAGTTCAGGCCCACAACTGGACCCCCCCAAAAAAAAACAAAACAAAAAAAACACTCCATCTTTAAAATAACTGGCAAAAAGTTGGGCTGGAGGCATGGTAGAGTGTCAGTGATCAAGTGTGAGGTCTCGAGATTAAGGCCCTGAAGTCAAGGCACTGGTACTAGCAAAATAAACTAAATATTGGGCTGACTCAGTAGTAAAGTTTCTGCCTGGAAAGCTGAAAGACCTGAGTTCAGATTCCAAACAAAAGCAAAAAGAATCCCCAGTGACTCATTAAAAAAAAAATCTTGTTTGTTCGTTTGTCTTTGGGAGGGTAGCTGCAGGCACAGAAATGGAGGGACAAAGTGGGAACAAATTTAGCAGTGGTGCATACTAGGCACTATGTTGAGAATGAACTATAAAACTTGTGGGTGGGGATGGGAGGGAAAAACTGGGAGAGAGGGAGGGAAGGAGTGACATCCAAAAAGAAATGTGCTCTTTACCCGATTTATGTAACTGTAACTCTTTTGCACATCATCTTTATAATAACAATAAAAACCTAAGTAATAAAAAGAATGTATCTGGGGCTGGGAAGGTGGCTCAGTGGTAAAGCGCTTGCCTTGCATGCATGAGGCCCTGGGTTCGATTCCTCAGCACCACATAAGCAAAAAGAAAAAAAGCGAGAAATGGTGGTGTGGCTCAAGTGGTAGAGCACTAGCCTTGAGCTGAAGAGCTGAGGGACAGTGCCCAGGCCCAGAGGTCAGGCCCCACGACCGGACCCAAAAAAAAGAACGTATCTTTAAGAAGAGCTAGTGTCAGAAGTTAATGGTGTAAGAGGGCTTAGCTGATGTGTGGTAATCAAGTGGGAAATTCCAAACATTGCATATATTTCATGTGGATATCAGCTGGCTTAAAATTATGCCACTTTAATTTTTTTCTTTTCCTTTTTTTCTTTTTGCCAGTCCTGTGGGTTGAACTCAGGGCCTGGGCACTGTCCCTGAGTTTGTTTTGCTTAAGGGTAAGACTCTACCGCTTGAACCACAGCACCACTTCCAGCTTTTTCTGTTTCTTGTGGTGCTGAGGACTCAAACCCAAGGCTTCATGCATGCTAGGCAAGCACTCTAACCACTAAGAAACATACCCTGAAATTATGCCACTTTTCATAAGATGTACAAGAAAAGCCAGGTGTCGGTGGCTCATGCTTGTAATTCTACTCAGGAGGATGAAATCTGAGGATCACGGTTCAAAGCCAGCCCGGGCAGAAAGTCCGTGAGACTCCTATCTCCAATAAACCACGCAGAAAACCGGAAGTAGTGCTGTGGCTCAAGTGGTAGAGCGCTTGCTTTTGAGTTGAAGAGCTGGGGGGAAGTGCCCAGGCCCAGAGTTCAGGCTCCACGACCGACCAAAAAAAAAAAAAAAAAAAATACAAGAAAGCAAAATTTTAGAAACTGTTGGAGAGAGAGACAGAGAGACAGAGACAGACAGAGAGACAGACAGAGATATACTGATAACAATTCTCAGTCATATTAGCTCAGGAGGACGGTATTGAGGTTCTGCTTCCCACCAGCCTCAAGGTGGTTTTGTCTGAGGTCAGTTGGAGATAAGAGTCTCCCAGACTTTCCTCGCGGGGCTACCTTCCAACTTTTGATCTGGAGAGCTTACCCCCCCAGGCTAAGTCTGGTATCTCAGGAGCCCGAAGATAAGTGGAAGTGAGAGTGAGGAAAGTTCACAGTTAGTTTCGAGTCCTCCGGAACTTTCTCTCACAAACCCGTTAAGACGGGAAACCTGTACTGAGGCCTTCAGACAGCGAATGTCGGTCACTGTCCCCACTTTCTGGAGCCTTCGAGTCCTCTGATCTTCACGTCCATGGGGAGGCTGGGCGCTCGGTGCGTGGCCGCTGGGAGTCCGGGGTCCCGTTCCCAGCCCGGGGTGGGGGTGGAGGTCTCTTCCCTTCCTCCCTCCTTTCTTTCGGCCAGTCTGGGCCGGGGCGCCGTCCCCGAGCTGCCTTTGCTCCAGGCTAGGGCTCCACCACGGAGCCACAGCGCCGCTTCCGGCATTTTGGTGGGTAACTGGCGAAGGAGAGCCTCGGGGAACCTCTCCCGCCCGCGGCGGGCTTCGAACCTCCGTCCTCAGCGCTCAGCCTCCTCCCAGAGGAGCGCGGGTGACAGGCTTGGCGCCGCCGGCGCCCGGCCCGCCGCGGACTTGTGACGTGGCGTTTCCTCGAAGTGCGCCGGGAACGTGCTGGGGGGGGCGGGGGGGGGGGGGATGGGCCGTCCGGGGCAGCACCGCCAACTTCGGTTCCAGAGTTCTGACAACAGAACCGGATGAGCCACCCAGACCCTCCGCCTCACGCCCTCCCCCCCCTCCACGTTCCTTCCGGTGCGTGTGGGTCAGTACCCCAAACTGTCCCGGCGTGAGGTCACTTGGCCCCCCCGCGTCACGTGCTCCGGCCCACGGCAGCGCCACATCGCCAGCCGCACCCCTCCACCCGCCCCCCGCCCCCCGCCCCCGCCCCCCGCCCCCGCCCCCCGCCCCCCGCCCCCGCCCCCCGCCGCCCACGTGACCCGGCCTAGTTTTTTTTTATCCTCCTCCCCCCTCCCCCCCCCCCGTCAAGCCCCGCCCAACGCCTCAGCCAGGAAGCCCCGCCCTACGCCTGGCGCTCCGCCCGCGAACCTCCGCCCGGACTCGCGCGTGGACCTGAGCCTCACGTGTTTCGCGTTGTCCAATCGGCGTCGGCGCCCGGGCGTGAGGGGGCGGGGGAGGAGGGGGGACGACTAGGTTGCGTTGCACGAAAAGGGGCGGGGCCTGCAACGTCGGACCGAGCGAGGGGGACGCAAAGGAGGCAGGCCGGAGCCGCTGCCGTCGCCATGACCCGTGAGCACACAGCCCCTTGCCTTTTGCCCTTTTCTTCCCCGTTCGCCCGGAGGGCGACTGCCGAGCCGTTCGGCTTTGACCTCCCCGGGGGGGGGGGCTTCCGCAGCGAGGACTTTCTCGGGGTGCACTCCTTCGCTGCCCTCTCACTGGGAGCCTTGCCCACCCCTACTTCTGGAGACCCCCCCACCCCTTGTTAGGCGTAGGCCCTCCTCGACCTTCCCGGCCGGCGGGGGGAGGTGTGGGGGGGAAGCCCGGCACCTCCTACTCCAGAATCCCGCCCAATCCCCCCCCCACCCCAGCCCCGGGACTCTTGGGGTCCATGCACCCCGCACCACCTGTCCGTACCCCCCACCTCCCCGAAACTTGAAACACGCCTCTCAGGAGCCGCCTGGGTCGGGCCGTCCTTCCTCCGCCCCGCCACTTGACCCTTCCCCCGAGCTGGGCCGGGATTGCAGCCTTGGAGTTGGGGAGAGGAGGGTCGCCCATGGGTGTGTGTGTGTGTGTGTGGGTTCAGGGCGGCCCGGTTGCCTCACTTTCTTCCAACCTTCTTTTCTTAGGCGGTAACCAGCGTGAGCTCGCCCGCCAGAAGAATATGAAAAAGCAGAGCGACTCGGTTAAGGGAAAGCGCCGAGATGATGGGCTTTCTGCTGCCGCCCGCAAGCAGAGGTAGCCCCAGGGAGGGGAGGGAGAGGGCTGGGATCGGGACTGGATGGGACGCGGGGAGGAGGGGGGGAAGATCTGGGTTCACCAAAGGTAATGACTACATAAGAGAGTTAACTTCAGGGCTCGAATCCGGATTTGTCGTGAGGGGCCGCGACTGCACTGCTTCCTCTAGGGTTTTATTTCCTCCCCACTCTCCAAAATTGTTAGGTCACAGCCATAACAGGAAGGGACGGGGGGCGGGTCCCCTGTCCTCGCAGTCTGTGTTCTGATTGCCCCGGGGTGTGACCTGAAGGGCACGGGCAGGGAGCTTTGAGGATCCTTGAGGATCCGGTACAGTTGAGGTGGTGACTGCCCTAGTACTTTTGTCCTTCCTTGCTGTTCATTTCTCCTCCCTTCTCCCAACTTTTGTCACTAGTGTTCCTGGGTGTGGTACTCCACGCAGAATAGTGAGCCTTGGGCCAGTATGGCCAGACTTCTGACCAGTTGGGGCAACAGCCTGACGGAGACTGGGTTGCCTTTTGAACCTCAGGGCTATTTCTCTTGTTCTCCTAGGGTGGGAATACTGCAGCCATATGCTGAACTATGTCCCATCCACTTCTATCTCATCCTTTGTGCCCTTCGTCCCCTTGCATCTTGTCCCTTTTGCCCTCTGGTACCTCCCAGTGCCCCATCATCTCTACCCCCAGGGACTCGGAGATCATGCAGCAGAAGCAGAAAAAGGCAAACGAGAAGAAGGAGGAACCCAAGTAGCTTTGTGGCTTCGTGTCCAACCCTCTTGCCCTTCGCCTGTGTGCCTGGAGCCAGTCCCACCATGCTCGAGTTTCCTCCTGTAGCGCTCCCAGGTCCCAGCACCGATGGCATTCCCTTTGCCCTGAGTCTGCAGCGGGTCCCTTTTGTGCTTCCTTCCCCTCAGGTAGCCTCTCTCCCCCTGGGCCACACTTGGGGGTGAGGGGGTTACTCCTTCCCAGTGTTTTTTATTCCTGTGGGGTATACCCCCAAAGTATTAAAAGTAGCTTTGTAATTCCTTGAGCGCCTGGTTTGACTGGGGTTTGGGGGGATGGGGATGGAGAAATGATTGCCCTTTCCCATCAGAAAGGGAGAGCTTTTTAGACTCCTGAGATTATGGAAATATATATATATATAGACCTAATAAGTGAGACATCACAGAAAAGAGTTTTATTTTACTATGATGGCCAGAAAAGCACTCCAGTTATGTGGTAGAGGAACCCTTTAAGAACCATCGAGACTTATTTTCTGTGATTTTTGTCCCCCACACCAGTCCAGGATGAAGTCGAGGGCCTAAGAGGGAATGCTCCAGGACCTAAGTTGATACCTCTCTTCCTCATTCTTCCTTAGTTTGTTTGTCTGCTTGAAAGTTGGCCAAAAAGTCCTGCTGTTCGCCAACTTCCTGAGGTTAGTTACTCTCAGTGTTGTTCACATTCTCTTCTGTCATTCCTCATGGAATGAAGGTGGTTTTTGTCTTCCCACTTCCCTTGACCTCAGAGTCAGGACTAAAACCTAGGATAGCCTCTGTGCTCCTTTCTTCCTGTGGCCTGGTTTGTTCTGCGGTTCTGGGCTTCTTACATCCCTGCACCCAGGGCTGAACTGCTTATTTATTTGCAAAGGCAAAGCCAATCTTGAGTCCTTGTTGGTCTTTCCCCACCCCCACCACGAGCCAGGAAAGGGCTGGTGCCATAGTGTCTGCTAGGATCAGCAGTGGTTCCTGAGCTGCTGATTTGAGAGTTAGGCTCTTAAACTGGGATGAAGACATAACGGGTAGCTTCATTTAGTCAGATACTGTCTGTAGTGTTAACGTGTCTTTGACCACTTTTTCCAATTTAGATGTAGTATTAAATCTAAGGGGATATAATTTCCCTTTCTGCTCTTGTGGTGCTGTGCTGGGCAGCTCCCTTAAGCCAAGACTAGGGAGCACAATATTAAGGGAACCCCAGCTGGTTAAAACCCCTAGACTGGGGGCTTTTACCCACTAATACTGATGCGATGCCTGAAGATAAGAGGGTGCTGAGGATTCTTAGTAGGAGACCAACAGATTGGTGCTAGTAACAATACCAGGTAGAGGAGTACACAGGCCCAGCATGAGACCACCTTCACCCAGAAGGTGGCCCAGCTTCCCTTGGTGAAGGTCTCCAGTTCTGCTCCTTCATAGCTGTGGAACCAAAGAGTTGTTAGAGAACATGCAGGATCTTAGCTTTTAGACTATTCTACCTCCCCACAATCATGGCCAACCCTTGGTATGATCTTGAATTTTTGATCCCCCCCCCCCAAAAGCAAGGTTTTTTAGGAGAGTATCTGGGGCCTACCTTTATCCTACCTGAACCAGTTGGTAAGAGTAACCATTACATAGAGTGAAGCAAGGAAAAAGACGAAGTGGAAGGCAGAGTAGCTGTAGGGAAGATGCTGGGCTTGTACTGGAGTTGCCGGAAGGTGGTCTTGGTCAGCTGGCCTAGCTGTGCCACCCTTTTGGCCTGCAGAGAGGAAGAGCTATTGGGAAGCAGGGCTGCAGATCTGAAGCCCTGCTTCCCGCAGCCCTGCTTCCCTCTTCCCCCAGCTACTCTCATATAAGCTCTTAAGGGCTACAGAGTTTTATCAGTTCCTAGGAGGTTCATTTGACACTCACCATTCTCTGGCTCTGCCGATTCTGGGCAACAGAAACAGAGTGAGGGCTTCTGCAAAACAGGGTAGCCTGATTTAGAATGGCTTCAAAAGAATGTGATGTTAATCTAGGAAACTCCCCTTTGAAAAAATTAGTTTGAGCGAAGAAGTGGAGGCATTATCTGGGTTCAAATTCTTGCTCCAGCATATAACTGGCTATGCAAACTTTGGTAAGATGTTTAATCTTTTGTGCCTCAATTTCTCCATTTGTAAAATGGATGGAGCAAATACCACCTACCTCACAGGGTTGTTGTGAGGATTAAATTAAATGAGATTATGTATGTAAAGTATCTAGCACAGTGCCTAGCCCATTGTGGGTATTCAATAAAAGGTAATAGCAGCTAGAATCTGAGCATTCTGGGTATAGAGGTTGGTAGGCTGTGTGTGTGTGTGTGTGTGTCTCTGTTGGGGGAAGGGTTTGGGGGATATTAAGCTTTGGCTCCTCACCTGGAACTCGTAGCTGTAAACCTTGATTATCCACAAGGGCCCAAATACCTCAGCCAGGAATGAAGCCTCATTGCTGGGAAAGAAGAGTTCTCAAGCTGGTCAATTCAGAGAGGTTGAAACCAGCTAATCCATGTAGATAAATTATAGGAAGGTACTTTTCACCAAGGATTGTCTGTTAATATGAGGCCCTGAAAGCCTAAAATTCTCAAGTCATTTCCCCCTTCCCCCGTCTTCTCTAAACAGATCATCTGACAAAGTGCTATTCTTAGAAGTTGTCCCTGTTCATGGAGAGATTTTCTCCTAGTCTTGCTGTTATGTTTAAGTAAACCAGGGCCCTAGACATTCTCCTGATTATCTCTCCCTCTCCTGGGGATTCTCCCTCAGCTCACACCTCTCCCCTTGACACCTTTACTCACCAAGCAAAAAGCACACAAGCATACATGATGGCAGCACTTAACACAGCTACTGAGGTATCTGGTACTTGGGGTTCCATTTTACTCAGACCAGGAAGGCACAGGGTATGATTCTGTCCCTGAAGGATAACTGGAGAGGGACGACAGAAGAGAAAGGTGTTAAGAACAAAGTAGAGTAAGTTTTAGCCCCAGTATTCCAGTTCTTGTCCCTTACCTCTCTCTGGAGGGCGGCTGGACAGTGCAGAGAAAGTCAGATACATGATATAGCAGCTGATGATTGAGGCTTGTAAAAGGCTAGAGCGGGGTTGCTCTAGGATGAACAAGTATTGCTTTAGTTTATAGGGCAGTGGTAATTTTCTCTCCTCCCTCCCTTGAGGGAAGCAGATTGTACCAGACTACTGAGATTGGGAAGGCTAATGAGGTTTGCTGTAATACTAAATGGAGTTTTGAAATCTGGAACATAATAGGGCGTATACCCACTGAGGCGGATGCAAGGGGTGATGGAGAGGAAGGACAGGAGGCCACAGAAGCAAATGTTGAGAGTAAGCAGCAGCTTGTTGAGCAGGCAGCCTGTGGGATGTGTGTAGTGGTGAAACAAGAGCATGGTTCCTATGCCTGCCAAGCTGTAGAATCCTGTGGTAGCCAGCAGCACAGCTAGGAACCAGCTGCAGTCTTGGGCTGCACCTGTCTGCCTAAGGAGGAGAAATGGGAGGTGGCTTAGGGTTCCAACTCTTTGTTTTTATCCACTATGAACTGTTCTACCTCTCTCCAGAAGATTGGTGTGATTACTTATCCCACTGTCTCTGAGAATCAAACATAGTTTTTTTTTGGTGGGTCCTGGGGCTTGAGCTGAGTTCTGTCCTGGAGCTTTTGTGTTGAAGGCTAATGTTCTACCACTGGAGCCACAGTTCCACTTTTTTTCAGTCGGTCATGGGTGTGAACCCTGGGCCTGGGCGCTGTCCCTCAGCTCTTGAGTTCAAGGCTAGCAATCTACGGCTTGAGCCACAGTGTCACTCTGGGCTTTTTCTGTTTTTGTGGTTCTGAGGAATTGGACCCAGGGCCTCATGCATGCAAGGCAAGCACTCTACCACTAAGCCACCTTCCCAGCCCCCACAGCTCCACTTTTAACTGTTTGGTAATCAATTGGTGATAAGAAACTCAGACTTTCCTGCTCAGGGTTGGCGTCAAACCTCAATCCTCAGATCACAGATCTTAGCCTCCTGAGTAGCCAAGGTTATAGGCGTGAACCTCGCAGCACCTGTTTTTTGTTGGTCACCACTAACTGAACTCAGAGCTTCATGATCTGCCTTTTTTTTTTTTTGCCTCTCCTGGGGCTTGAACCCTGTTAGGGTCTGGGCAGTGTCCCTGAGCTGCTTTGCTCAAGGTTAGCACTCTATCACTTGAGCCACTGTACCATTTCTAGCTTTTTCTGTTTCTATGGTACTGAGGAATTGAACCCAGGGCTTCATGCATGCTAGGCAAACACTTTACCACTAAACCACATTCCCAGCCTCTGATCTGCCTCTAGCTACTCCTCCAACCTGGCTTTTTCCTATTTACTTTGAGGATGGAGTCTTGTGGACCTTGTGGCTGCAAGCCACGACATTCATTCTCAGTCTCTTGAGTAAGATTACTAATGCCTGGCTTTTTGTTAAACAGTACTGAAGACTGAACTAAGGGATTTCCACTTGAACTATGCCCTGTCCCATTCCTGAGGTTTTTGGTAGTGCTCAGTGAGAGGCCATAGCTCTCACCAATGACTCACTGTGCTCTTTGCCCAGTGTTCCTGCATCCACTAATACTTGTCAACCTACCTAGGAAGAGCCTTTAAGGTTATAGTATAAGTCCCTTACCAGTTCTTGTTCCAGGAGTGAGCAAAGGCTGTGATAAGCACCAACTGCAGTAGGATGAATGTGAAGCCTCCACAGATGCCAATGTAATGCCAGGCTGCAAAATAGGCAGCAGTGGGAAAAATTACCTGGGCATATCAGTCACTGTGCCTTTTCTCCCCACTTTTTTTTTTTTTCCTGGCAGTTTTAGGGATTGAACTCAGGGCCTGGGCCTTGTCCTTGAGCTTTTTTGCTCAATGCTGCTGTTCTACCACTTGAGCCACCGCTCCACTTCTGGCTTTCTGGTACTTTATTGTAGGTACGAGTCATGTACTTTACTGCTAGACAGGCTTCCAACCATGATCCTGAGATCTCAACTTCCTGAGTAGCTGGAATTACAGCCACAAGACACTAATGCTTGGCTCCACATTTTTTTTGGTGGAACTGGGATTTGAATTCCTGTCACGCTTGCTAAGCAGGTGCCCTAACTGCCAAGGTACACCTCCAGTCCCATTTTTCTGCTGGTAATTTGAGATAGGGTCTTGCTGTAGCCCAGGTTCATGCCTGGGTGCGATCCACCTGTGTTATGCTTTTCAGTAGCTACAATAACAAATGAGAAGGTGTCAAGAACTTTTCTGCCTGGGCTGGCCTTGAATTTTGAATCCAGTTTTCAGTAGCTAGTATGACAGGAGTGAACCACTCAAACCTTGTTCTTTTTTTTTTTTTTTTTTTAAACATACCCAGGCTAGCCTTGAACTTAATGATCCTTCTGCCTCAGCCTCCAGGGTATTGAGATTACAAGTATGTGTCACTACACCTGGCTCTCTGCCCAGTATGTTAGAGAGATTTTTAGCCTACTGCTGGTCAGGGTATGTGAGATGGGCAGTACCTGGAAAGAGATGCTCATCTGGGATGCAGAAGGCAACAGCACAGAGGCATAACAGCAACAGCAGCTTCAGGAACCAAAAGCTGGTTTGGTGGGGGAGAAGAAAACTAGATTCAGAAGAAAAAGCAAGAGTGAAGAATGCCCATGGGAAAAGGAGGAAAGCAAAACTAGACGATGAGGGCAAAGAAGAAAATACTAAGTACGGGAAAGGAGCCAGCTCCTAGTGAGAGGGTCTGGGAATATTCACTTCCAAATTAACTCAAAGACACCTGAATAATATCTGAGCAACACTTTACACGTCATAAAAGGTTTGCATATAATAACACCATTGTTATCGCCACTTTGTAGACAGAAGCAGCTACAAAAGGGTAAGTATCTGGCTCCTGGCCACTCAGTAAGTCCAGCGGAAGCAGGGACTTAAACCTGTTTTCTGTCTTTTGACAGTGCAATTACTTCATCGTGGAACTTCCTTTATTCAGTTTGTGTGTACTTTCTTCCTCTGTCTCCTCCCCACCCAAAGAGTACACACAAACCTGTTATGCAGTTGTGCCCGTAGGCTGGCGGGGGAGTGGAGGTGGACCAGCAGGATAGCTTGCACCAGGTGGAAGGTAGCAGTTCCTGCACATACTCGGTACACAGCCCCAGAGCCACTGAGCACTGGACAGTCAGGGTGGCCAAACAGGTGGGCACAGAAGGCTGAGGGCATCTGGATCTGGAGGGGGAGGATGTGTGAGAAATGGCAGGGCAAATCATTACAAATAGGTATCTACTCACTGCTGGGTCCTCCTTTGTCTCCTACCCCAAATCCAAATCTATTGCTGTTTTATTAGTTTTTCTTCTGCCCACTTTGCAGCCAGCCCCCTCCTACTTTATATCTTTATACCTTGCCCCAGACTTTTTCCACCACTGTCCTTGACAGCAGGAGGCAGCAAACTGTTGAGGCCCCCATATGGATGAGGGTGTAGAATAGACGGCTCCAAGTAGACGTGGTGAGAGAGGGCCGCCAAAGGTGGCAGCAGCTGGTACAAGTAGCAGGCCCACAGCAGGACACCTAGGGATACAGCAAATGCTGGATAACAAGTTGGAAAATTTCGGAAGGGCATACATTGACTCGTGTGAGGTTAACCCATGAGGCTGAATTCCGGATATTTCCCTTTCTTTTGCTCAGGAATTTCGAGCTATTTGGGATTGCCTTCCACTGACCACTAGCAGGACTTTCAATACAAGGACTGAGGGCAGGATTGAGCTGTAAGGTTGGGAACAAGGAAGAAGTTTACTCATTGCTGAGGCAAAAAAGACAAAAGGATGCTGGGTGCTGGTGGCTCACGCTGTAATCCTAGCTACTCAGGAGGCTGAGATCTGAGGATTGAAGTTCGAAGCCAGCCCAGGCAGGAAAGTCTGTGAGGTTTTTTTTTTTTTTTTCCTCCAGTCCTGGGCTTGACCTCAGGTCCTGGGCACTGTCCCTGAGCTTCTTTTGTTCAAGGTTAGCACTCCTCCACTTGATTTTTGTCTTTTCTTTTTTGGTACTGGGGATCGAACCCAGGATGTTGCACTTGCTAGGCAAGCACTTTGCCACTGAGCTACATCCCAGCCCAGCACTCCTCCACTTGAACCACAGCACTACTTCTGGCCTTTTCTGTTTATGTGGTACTGAGGAATTGAACCCAGGGCTTTATGCATGCTAGGCAAGCACTTTACCACTAAGCCACATTCCCAGCCCTAGTGAGACTCTTACCTCCGGTAAACTATTAAGAAAAAGCCAGAAGTGGTGCTGTGGCTCTAGTGGTGGAACTCTTGCCTTGAGCAAAAAAAAGCTGCTCAGGGACAGCTCCCAGGCTGAAATCAGGACTGGCTAAATAAATAAAGACAAAGGAACAATAGAGAAAAGGCTGCAGATACTGGCTTCTGCAAATTTTCCTCAGCTTCAGCCATATAGTTCCCAGCTTTTCAGAAAGGAGCTTTTAAGTTTTCTGCCCAAATACCCTCTCACCTGATAGAAGGGTGTTTTCACTATGACATTGCTGACTCCACTGCGCTGCTGTGCCAGGGCCTGTGGGGTGCCATGGTCAGTGACTGCCTTTGCATCCACCATCTTTGTCTCAGGAAGAGGCCTAGGTCCACCAGATGGAATGTAGTTGAGAAAGTATCAGCCTCCGACTTCAGCCCATTAGACTGCTGGCTTTGCTGGAGCTGATCGACCAGTCAAGGCACAATGGGGACACGAGGAGATGAGCACACCAATCACCAGGAAGTGGTAAATGCACACGCCCCAGTGAAGGTGCTCGCTGCTTCCAGGGGGCTGCGAGTGGGCCCAGCCGGGCTCTCTTCCCGAGATTAGGGAGTTTGCAGATCCGGCCTCAGGGATTAACGTTCTTAATTGGTTTAGGATTAGTCCTACATCCTGGTTGGCCAGACTTGGGGAGGTGGGTTGTTCCTAGGTGGTGGAGAGGGATGGCTGTGCGCTGAGGTGGTCTGGAGTGGTTCAGGTTCGGTCTGGAAGACCGTTCAGAAAACATGAAGTTCAAGCCTCAAGGGGCACGAAGGTGCACCGCCCTGCGGGTGGAAGCCTGCGGAGCCCGGGCGTAGGGGTGTGGCCCAGCGCCGGCCCCGCCCCCTCAGGGGCGGAAGTTGGTGCTAACCGGAAGTTGTCGCGAGGGGCGGGCTCTTGTGGAGGCGCGGTGAGAGCGGGATGGCGACCGAGGGAGACGTAGAGCTCGAGTTGGAGACCGAGACCAGCGGCCCAGAGCGGCCCCCCGAGAAGCCCCGGAAACATGACAGCGGTGCGGCGGACCTGGAGCGGGTCACCGACTACGCGGAGGAGAAGGAGATCCAGAGCTCCAACCTGGAGACGGTAGGGCGGGCCGGGGGCGTCCGAGCGGGCGTGGGGCGCCGGGCCGCAGCCTGCGGGGGGGGGGAGCCCGCGCTCCCCGGCGCGGAGGGCCGCGCGCTGGCGCCGAGCCCCCCTGCGCCGAGTGCCACGCGGCCCCGCCGCCCGGCGACACGCGCGGTCCTGAGCGCGTGCAGCACCGCTGGTTTGGTTGGCCTTTGCCTTCCTCCCTCCCCGGCGTCATGCATCGTTGGGAATTGCGGGGAGTGGAGCCCCAGCCACCAGACCCGTCTTTCCTGTAGGCCATGTCCGTCATCGGAGATAGACGGTCCCGGGAGCAGAAAGCCAAACAGGAGCGGTAAGTTTAAAACACTCAGCCAGCCTCGTCAGCCCGAGGCTCCCTCCCTCCCCAGCAAAAATAGTCACCATTGTTAAGCCATACCATCTGCAATTCTTGTGCCAACTCTAGGGCTTACAACTTTGTGGAAGGAAAGCCTGCATTTTTTTTTCCTTCCTTGTATCTTTGTAATGTTTGTCTAGACTTATTTCCAAGGCCAGGTAGGAGTTAATGGTGTAAAGAACAAGGACTAATGCACATAAATATTTTCAGGGAGAAGGAATTGGCAAAGGTCACAATCAAAAAGGAAGATCTGGAGTTGATAGTGAGTAATGTCTAACTAGCATATGGACGGGAGGTTGTTTTGCTTATTTCGTGTTTCTGAACCAAGTGGGGCCAAGATTTGGGTGGCATGTCACGGCTCTGAGGAAACTGAGATAACATCGATCATTTTCTTGCAGATGACAGAGATGGAGATCTCTAGAGCAGCAGCAGAGAGGAGCTTGCGGGAACACATGGGCAATGTGGTAGAAGCTCTTATTGCCCTAACCAACTGAGAGGTGTTTTCTTAGACATTTTCTGGATTAACTTATTGCAATAAACTTTTTTTCTTATCTTGGATCAGCTACTTTATTTCGTAGGAGTATAACTGCAGTTTGTGGTCCTCAATAACCCTTCAATCAATCTATGTGAAGTAAAGTATTTTATGTTCAGATATAGATGTTCAGTGCCAGGCTAGTCTAAGGCATGTGTAGCTTTAGTATGCAATGTACCTTTGGAGTCAGAAGAGTTACTATACCCAGTGGTAGGTGTCTCCAGAAAAGCTTTTGCATTTAACTTTTGCTTTGAGACTATGTCTTGCTATTTAGCACAAGCTTGTCTCTGAGTGCTGGAATTCCAGATGTGTACCACTTTTTGCTCAGGTCTCCAGGATAGAGACTAGCGTTTTCAGTCTAAAATCTAATGAATTAGAATTTCAGTACTTGAAATGGGAGTAATAGAGTACCTGGCTAGTGTAAGTATAAACCTCAGTACATGAAAAAAATTGAACAGATACCTTTATACAAATACTTAAAAAGTTTTATGTATTTAAACTGGGAATATGGGTATAATAGTGTATTTTTTTTTTAATTACAAAATTACAACAAATTATAACATGTAAGAACTGATGAGCTGGTGCATGCAAAAGCTTTTGACTAGTACCTGCCTGAATGAACATTCAAATGCAATGATGCTTCACCTAAATAATTTTAAAGCCTTGTTCTCGTTTTAAAATTTTGGTGCTAATGCCAAGACTTGAGTTCAGGTTCTTGCTTATTAGCCTTTTTTCTCAAAGCTGAGACTTTGTGAGCCATAGCTTCAATTTCCTTTTTTTTTTTAAAATTGGTCGCTGGGTTTGAACTCAGGACCTGGGTGCTGTCCCTAAGCTCTTTTGCTCAAGGCTAGTGCTCTACCACTTTGAGCCACAGCACCATCTCTGGTTTTTGAGTGGATCACGAGATAACCTTATGGGGATTTTTACCCGGGCTGGCTTTGAATTGTGATCCTCAGATCTCAGTCTTCTAAGTAGCTAGTGAGCCGATAGTGCTCAGCATTTTTTTTTTGTTGGTCGTGGGGCTTGAACTCTGGGCCTGAGTGCTGTCCTTCAGCTCAAGGCGAGCTCTCTACCTTGAGCTACAGCGCCACTTCCAGTTTTCTGGTGGTTTATTGGAGATAAAGTTTCATGGACTTTCCTGCCTGGGCTGGCTTTGGATCTCCATCTTCAGATCTCAGCCTCCTGAATAGTTAGGATTACAGGCGTGAACCACCAGCGCCCGGCTTCAGCATTTAAAAAAACAAAAATGCTGGTCATGGGGCTTGAAGTCCGGGCCTGGGCACTGCCCCTGAACTTTATTTTTGGTCGGTTGTTTCCACTTGAATCACAGTTCTACTTCTGGCCTTCGTGGTGGTTAAATAGAGACAAGAGTCTCACAGATTGCTGCCCAGGATGGCTTTGAACCTTGATCCTCAGATCTTAGCCTCAAGTAGCTAGGATTACAGGCATGAATCATCAGTACTTACTTTGTTTTTATAGTTAATCCTTGTCAGTTTACACATTTTTCCAGTATGCTAAACATTCCTAGTGTGTGATTCTTTTTATTTGACACACATATACACATCAAATGGACCAAAACGTATGTTCACTTAGAAAAGGTGACTACCCAAAAATGCAGAATAGATTTCAATGAGCATAGATTAATAACTACTCCTAACCCTCAGGTAGAAGTAATGCCCTGTCTACTTGCATGCTCACTGACCCAAGTGAAGGTGCTAGAGAAAGAAACTTGAAACAGTCCCAAGTAAATTTGGGAAGTCACACAGAGAAATCTAAGATTTCTCACAAAGTCTTTAGTGGGAAGTCTATAAGCCTATCTGGATAGTACTTTTCTGTGGGTTTCTCAATATGAGTCCAGACCACACAAAACACCTTCAAAGATTGGGCGGCCCAAAAGCACAGTAGGGCAGTTATTCCAGCAGGCTGCATACAAAAACCATATAAATGATGGTAAAAGAAAATCAAGGACCAGATGTTGAGACTTCTTGTGTCCACAGTTGGAAGAAATAGTTGGATCTTAGGTGGTTTTCCGCTTCTTGGCCGATGGTCGCTCAAATACATCTCGTACCCCAGCTGCCTTTTGTTTAAAGAACTTAGTGTTCTGGGCACTCTCTTGACCCCATGCTGAGTCGAAGGAAGTGGTGTCCTGATCCACAAGGTGGGTATATTTGGTACGACCAGAACGTCCAAAGTTCTTGACCTGAGGGAAGAATGGATGATGAGTTTTAGCAGCAAATATGCCTCAGCCCTCAATGTTTTTCTTTGTTAACAAGGGTCCCCTTACCTGCATGACTTTAGGAAGGATAGTTTTGTTGAAATGATCCTCGAGAGTTGGTGCACTGAAATCTCTCTTGTACACTTCTTCATCCTCATCCTGTAGAAAAGAAACCAGTCTAGTTTTATTTCTCAAGTATTTAAATGGAAAATATATTAAAGTATAATGCATAAAGGAAGCAGAGGGTATTGAGCCTTTCTTCAAGACAACTGAACTGACTACTTGAGATGAGATTCATCTTCCTGTTATAGTTTTTCCTTCTCAAGTATCGATACTTGAAGGATGGCACTCACTGTGCTTATTTGCTCATGTGACTTCAATGCTAAAGACCTCTCAAATCTTCAATTCTAAATTTTCTGATTTGTATATGTACCTTGGATATTTTATTGGGACATCTGGAGTAAAAAAAAAAAAAAAATCATTTCTCCAATCTAAATTGGAAGCTTCTGATGGGACTAGCATTCTATCAATGACCCAGACTCAAAATTTGAGTTACTCTGGGTATATTCAGTGAGTTGCCACATCCTATACTTTTTTCTTTTGCTGGTATGGGGCTTTGAACTCAGGTCCTCACATGTACACTTGTCTTGTTAGCTGGGCTGATACTCTTTAACTTGAGCCTTGCCTACAACAGCTTTTAGCTGGTTATTTTTGGTGCTAGTATTGGGGCTTGACTTGGGGCCTAGGTTCTGACCCTCAGCTGTTTTTGTTTAGCTGCTTGTTTTGGGAGATGGAGGCTTTTGGAGTTTTCTACCCAAACATGAGTTACTGTACAGCAACTTGCAGAGCTTGATTTATAGCTTATGAAATATTTTTTTTTTTTGGTCGGTCGTGAGGCTTGAACTCTGGGGCTGGGCGCTGTCCCTCAGCTCTTCAGTTCAAGTCGAGCAGTCTACCATTTGAGCCACAGTGCCACTTCCAGTTTTCTGGTGGTTTATTGGAGATAAGAGTCTCATGGACTTTCTTGCCCAGGCTGGCTTTGAACCGTGGATCCTCAGATCTCAGCCTCTTAAGTAGCTAGGATTACAGGTGTGAGCCACCACTGCCCAGCTACTTACATAGTTTTGAGAACCTAATTACTTGGGTATCTAGGTAGATTTCATTTGTATGCCATTATTTCTACAGGCTGAGTAAAATGGAACTATTGCTGCTCCTGACTGCTGCTTCTACAATCCAGTTGCTAATGCTTTTCACTGAATTTATATTCTAAGGCAAAAGCAAATAAAGCTGGGTAGTGATTCAGGCTTGGTATCCTAGCTATTTTGGAGGCTGAGATTGGGAAAACTGGTTAAAGTCTAGTTTAGGCAAAAAAGTTCATGAGACTCCATCTCAATTAAAAACTTGGATGGTGTGGTAATGTGCATGTCACCCTAGCAGGAAGTATAGATAGTCATGGTGCAGGCTAACCAGACTACCTAAAAAATAAACAGAACAAACAGAGGTAGGGACTTACCTCCAGTGGTAGAAAGCCTTGAGTTCAAACTGTACTGCCATCAATAATAGCAAAGGGCAAATGGAAAGGCTGACTAAAGGCAAGTGGAAGTAACATTCAATGAGGTTCTTTTCTTTTATTTGGTCGGTTGTGGAGCTTGAACTCTTCAGCTCAAGGCGAGCACTCTACTGCTCGAGCCACAGCACCACTTCCGGTTTTCCAGTGGTTTATTGGCTATAAAAGTCTCATGGAGGGGCTGGGAAGGTGGCTCAGTGGTAGAGCGCTTGCCTTGCATGCATGAGGCCCTGGGTTAGATTCCTCAGCACCACATAAGCAAAAAGAAAAAAGCCGGAAGTGGCACTGTGGCTCAAGTGGTAGAGCGCTAGCCTTGAGCTGAATTGCTGAGGGACAGCGCCCAGGCCCAGAGTTCAGGCCCCACGACTGGACTCCCCCCCCCCCCCCCAAAAAAAAAAAAAGTCTCATGGAGTTTCCTGCCTGGGCTGGCTTTGAACCATGATCTTCAGATCTCAGCCTCCAGAGTAGCTAGGATTACAGGCATGAGCCACTGGCGCCCTGCTCAACGAGGTTATTTCTATCCAGGGACAAAGAGAATTCAAAAGCTTCTGTGTTTTTCCCACTGGATTTTCACTTACCATGAAGAAGGCACCTCGGTGATAATACTTCTGTAAAAATTTGTATTTGCCTTTAACAGCTTTGTTGGTAATGACTTTGCCATTTGCCCTCAGCTCAGCTCGCCTCTCCTCCTCAGTCAGGTTTCTCATGCGTTCAATTTCTGCTTTCTCCTTTTCAAGTCTGTCCAGAAAGCAGAACTATATATTAGTCTATTTTCAGTTTCAGAAAGGTCCAATTGTCTCAAAACAACATCTCTATTTCCATTCAGTTTACCCTCTTCAATTCTAGTCTGCCTGTAAGGAATTAAGATCAGTTGTTCAATAAACAAAAGCTGAGTTCACCCTCATTATGTTTACTTGATCTGTTACTGAAAACTTAGAAGTTGTTTCTAGCATTTCTGAGGTTCAGAAATATTACTTGATAATAACGGTGTCTTTGTTGCTGCTCCTAGTGGAAACTTACCACATAATCATCATTAATTATAGTGATTTTTTTTTTTTTTTTGGTCCAGTTGTGGGGCCTGAACTCTGGGCCTGGCCACTGTTGCTCAGCTCTTCAGCTCAAGGCGAGCGCTCTACCACTTGAGCCACAGCGCCACTTCCGGCTTTTTTCTTTTTGCTTATGTGGTACTGAGGAATCGAACCCAGGGCCTCATGCATGCAAGGCAAGCGCACTACCACTGAG